AACTGTAAGAATGAGATTAAAAGAACAGAAATATCAAAGATGCTCCGTTTCAAAGAAAATAACAATCTCGAAACCAAATCGCCAAAACCGTGTTTTGTGGTGTCGATCCAAATTAGGGTGGACAGTGGAGGAAAACTGGAGTCAGGTCATTTTTAGTGATGAGATGAAAGTTGTTTTAGGAAAGGATAGAAAAATTTACGTCTGGAGAAAACCTGGAGAAAGATTTCAACCCGATTGTCTTGGACAGTATAGTAGTCATTCGCCCCGCTCCGGCATATCGGCTATGTTCTGGGGGTGTTTATCTTTTAATGGTGTTGGAACTTTGACTGAAGTAGAAGGAAATATAAACTCCGAGAAATATATTTCGGTCCTAGATTATCATTTGTGGCCTCTTGTTGCAAAGGAGTTTCCTGCAAGTCCCTGGATTCTACAGGAGGATAATTGTCCGGTGCACCAGTCCAGACAGACAGTTGAATGGAAAACGACAAACAACATCCCTACACTTACCTGGCCTAGTCAATCACCAGACATTAACATAATTGAAAATGTGTGGAGGACAATTAAGATCAGATTAGAACATCGCATGAACGAAATTAAAAAACGCGAAGACCTAGTGCGTATTGTGAAGGACATATGGGCCTCTATCGATTTGAAGACGATTAGAAAACTGTACATATCAATACCAACACGATTACAAGCTGTTATAAAAGCAAAAGGTTACATAACCAAGTATTAGTAAGGTAGGATAAATTTTTATTATATATCAATTTGAAAAAACAACATTCAAAACTGCAAGTGTGCACGTATATTTTTATAACGGCGGCCATTTTGCGTACTGTATTATGGCCAGGTACTGTAGATGGAAACTACTGATGTCACGATTCCTGTATTATTCCATCAAATTTCCAATTTTGGGAAACCTGGCTTTTCACCCAGTGCAATCTAGGCGTCCGCGTCATAAGAAATAGAACGTGACAAGAGGAGAAGAAAGTTGAAAAAATAAGGGCCGATCTCTCATGCATAGTTCTTGGTGGGGTGACCCCTGCGCCATGATCTATAGAAACAGTAGGACAGTACTCCATGCTCATTTTGTACGTAATCAGTATGATACTATTTCTTAATACAGAATATTTATTGACACAGCAGTTAATATTTTTGCATGATTTTTTTCCCTACAAGATGGAGATTCTTCAAAATCTATGGTCATCGAAAGGATATATTTTTAACTCGCCATGGTTGACAATGGTTTTCTCAAGTCGAAAATATTAATTTTCAATTTTACCCTCCACTACATGCAATACAGTATTATATTTTATATGATGTCACATATCTGCCAACTCGATAAAGGATTAGTTATTCAAATCTGTTCAAGCTAGATTAGTTTGGAGATGTTTGCTGCCAGATCTCCTTTAAGAGCCATCCTGTAAAATTCATGCTTTCAGTTTAATTACCGGTAAAACTGACAGACTGATTGATTTCTCTGCTATGTCTTTTTTATGCCGAGAACAAGCAGGCATTATGGGTAATCAGCTGTGGACTTTGATGACCATTAAGTAACGGGAATACAAATGTATGATTATAAGCAAACTTAACGAAAGGATGATTTTATTTTGATTTCAAGACAATTTGGCGGAATTTATTTTAGTTTATGAGTTCTATTAATCTCTAAGTTACATGCTTCACACGTTATATCGATAAGTAATCCGTACCCAGCAATCTGCATCCTGGAGGAAATTTCATTAGATGCTTTTTCAGGAATCATAAAATTTTGATGCCTTTCCAAAAAATACATATTGTTTCTCGATATAGGAACACATTAATTACTTAACAAATGCTCAAACATCTTCATAGATCACCCTCACATATTGTTATAGGAAATGAAGCTAGCAATAACCAAAATTTGAATTCATTATAATTACGTTTGACACGGATATTCGATTTCAACGTGCAGTTTCCAGTGGTATATTAACCTTCAGCCAAAATCACGACACCCCCAGTAGGACATGGAAACTCAAGCGTTCCAAAATTGTCTTGTGATAATAAATGGAGGCTAGACACTGGTAAACAGAGAAAGGACAAAGACAAATGGCACTGGACTGTGAAAACGTTCGTCTGTGAGGTGCAAACGCCTGCTAGCTACATGTAACTGCACCATGTCTAAGTACTATATCCACAAAGTGGGCTAACTTAGATATAATAAACATATCTGTTCCAAAAACATAGGTCAAATACCGAATGTTTTACTCGTGTAGGAGTGACTTTAGTGTTGATGACTATTCACGAAGTAGGTTAATCCCCATTATTGACCACTGACTGTAACCAGTTTCTACCACTGTGTAACAATTCAGTCTTATCCTAGACCAACAGATTGTACGCTATATATTTTGAAACTGCAATGAAAACTAAAATTTCTGCTATTGAAAACAATAGCATATGTTACCCTGAACTGATCCCAACTCTGCATTTTTTTGGAGTTGAATGCAGAGCAAGCAAGTATGTAGGGAATTTCTCGAGACAGCGTTAGAGAACACACATTTACAACTACCACTTGTCATCAACTTATCTCACAAGAGAAACAGCGAACTGTTATAAGTTATCTTATTCGTTCTTTCTAGGATACAGCGACAAACTTTGTGCAACCGATTCCAATTTTTGGTAGAAAACACTTTAACAGAATGCCATGAACAATTCTTTTAAGTTTCAAAAAGTTTGGATGAGCAGTTCCTACGCAAATGAAATTAATTTTTTTTTTTTTTTTAAAAATATACATATTTCGTCTGTTTCCATGGAAAAAGTGGCCATTTTGAAATTTAAATTTCATATGTAGAGTTGGTGATTATCATTTCTGTGAAGCTTCATTAAGAATCTCCCATCCATCTGCGGACAAAATTTTAGAGTCTTAGCAATAACAATATGTCGCCCGACTTCGTTCGGGACGACATAACTAGAACACTTTGACATACATGTGTGCAGACTTACAGCCAAACTACTCAGTTCAAGAATAATGCCTTAAAGGTCAAAAATTGTTCACCGATTCATTGATCCCATGGAATTATATAAATATATTTTAAATCATTGACCTCATGGAATTGATATACTTTAAAACAACCATGGAAACAATGGAAACAGTTAATAAAAACTTATTAACAAATGACAGAATGGTAAAAAAAGCTTGTCCTCCTATTTTAGCAAACTATTTTGTGGGACTTAATATTGACTAGAGGTTTTCTATTTCCATTAATTCCAGAGGTCATCATTTCCGCACGATTCTTGTTGGACGAAGTAATAAAACGATATTGATTAAGGTGTAGGGAGCATTCTGGGTAATTTTTTTCTCTATTCTTTTTCCTCATTCTCTCCAACATCGCCATATAATCATAAAGTTTATAAACTGAAGATAGGGAAAAAATATCTAGGATTATGCAAATTTTCTGTTAAAAAAAGATAAACTATGTATATTTCTTTCTTTCATACTTGTATATTGAAATAAACAAAATCTTTTAAATATATAAATTATGCATGAATTATTTGTCTTGGTTAAATAACACATGTATTCTAAAAATCCTTTAAAGTCGCATTTGCATGAAGATATATTTATCATTCGATTCTATTTCAAGAATTCAATAATTAAATTTCAATGTTATGAAAAGAAATAAGAAATAAATAATTTAGCCATGGTAACGTTTCTAAAACATCAGCTTTTGTCGTGGTTTCGTGACGAGTATAATGACTTATGACCGATCTACTTAAATACGAAGACTATTTCAAAATATAAGGTATCGCCATTTTGTATAGTTTATGCTTTGTTTTGTTTCCTTTAACTGTAACATGGGTTTTTCTGATAATTGATATACTAGATTGAATTTCTGGAAAATATTGTGGATTTCTTTCCAAGAACTATCTGTCCAACATTTACCAGTGTAGACTTTGTAATTAAAAAAAATCAAATGTTAGAAACAAACTGTTGAGCTAGTTCCAAGGTACACTAAATTATAACAATTGTATACTTTATATACTCTACTATTTCCATATTTCACTCTATACATTACAAGTATATTTCATTTTTAAATATCATACTAGTACCAGTCCATACTATCTAGGATCAATGCTTGGTTGTAGATATTCCTCTGTCGAAATTCCTCTTAAATTTCCCTTAAAAACATCACTTTAGGAAATTTAACCTGACAGTAACTTCTTAATATACTTCTTTAGAACACAAAATTCAAAACTGCCAATAAAACTGAGGTAATTTGCAGCAACTAAAGTAAACATTAGTTGTCACTTTCAATCTAGAAAAATCGTTTGTAAAAGACATAACTATGATAAAACTAGTGAAGAGTTTAAAATAGTTTGTTCGACACAAGGTTATATAGCCATTAAACCGATTAAAGTGCAGTTTATCTGCATGTTTTATGTACTCTTTAACTGGCCTTTATTTTCTTTGCTATGTACACTTTAACTCAAGGAAAATAAGAGGCAGACTACCGCATAAAAATCTCCTTTTAAAAACAATTCTAAAATCACAGAGGTATATGGAGGAGACGAAGAACTGATAATGAATAGGACGAGGCAGGACGATTCTTTAAAAAAATATCTTTTCTGTTTTTTTCCTTTATATGCATTTATTCCAAAACTACAAAATAGCTTTTGCTTAAAAAAGATTTCGTAACTTGTTAGTATGAATGTTACATTGCTCAACACTTCAAATTCAGTTCTTTTTCATAGAGATTCATTGGGTTTGCTTTATGATTAGTGTATACAATTTGAATGATTTTTTTTTCCAATTTCCAATCTAATATTATGCAAATGGTATATCTGATATGATATATTACATAACATTTGGAGATTTTAAATTTATGGGCAGTGCTACACCTACATGCAAGCACACATTCTGTTTTAACATGCATACATAAAAAATTAGTATAAGATATAGATGTTTAATTATAATTAAGCCTCGCACCTACTTATATGTACACGGGCTCTTAGTAGAGCTTACATACCATTTTCAAATTTCTCCGAGGTCCATGATGGTTCTAAAATAAAGAAATAAGGAAATTCAAAACAAAAGATAAATGGTACATGTAAAACCAACATTTCATTCCAGTGAAATGTGCCCTGGTCGTTTGCATGTTTGGTATTACTGCTAGAGATCATTGACACGAAATTCAAAGCAAAAAGGACTCCAATTCACACCTTGATTTTCAAAAAGACCATCAGTTTAATGATTTTAATTGTACTCACATCAACAGGAAGAGAAAGATAAGAATGTGCTTAATGGGCATTAAGCCGCTCTAACGTAAAACGTTGATTTTGTTGCAACTAAATGATTACACTTTTGAGCCAATTTAGAATTTGAAGCTTTTTGAAAATAATGTCTTGATTTTATATCATCCTTCATGGTTGTCACACTCTGAAGCAGATTTTAAAAGTCATATAGAAAATCTAATGGCTCCAAAATTAAGATGGAGGATTATCGAAATTGTGTAGACTTTTTAACTTTAAAGACTAAAAAAAAAAAGAAAAGAAATTTTGGAGTTTAAGGATTTATATTTTTTTGGTCGCCTACTTCGTAAGCAGTATGGTGGAACGAAATTGAAGCTTCATAAGACAACGTGGTGGACATTTGTTCAAGAAGTATTGTCCGTATATTTCTTTGTTGAACACTGAACCACTGATGAAGCTCAACCTTTCCCCCTAAATCTGACATTCCCGGTAGGAAAGAAGAAGGCGAGGAATTAATGTTGTTCGCCGACAAAATGAATGAACCTAAATATAACAAAGGTTCTTTAATTTATTAAAACTTAAAAAAGGCTATGATTGAATGTATATAATTCAATGTACAAATGGGAAAATTTCAAGGTCACGCACTCTGGCCGAAACGAAAAATTTAAAACATAAAATACAAATGGGGAATTATTGAATACAAGTAAAAAAAAATTACAATGCAAATGAAAAAAATATAGAATACAAATAAAAATTATGCAATGCAAATTGAACAGATTGAATATTGCAACGTTTGACATGCCATAAACTTATGGTACAAAAGTAACGTTACGGTAGTGGTTAGAGCGTCTGTTCTAGAGTCGCGGAGTAAGAAGTTGATCCTTACGTCGCGGGTTCGAATCGCACTATGGGACGTGGAGACCGGTCCTTCGGCAAGTGGTGGCGTCTCCATATGAGTGAAAAATTCTCGAGAGGGACATAAAACAACAATCAATCAATCTGAACAGATCCAGATATTAATACATTTAGATATAGTAAAAATGTTTGAAGTGTTGAGACGCACAGATTTCGGTGATCTAGAAAGAGCTGCCGGCATCATTTGGAGTAGCTCCCCTCTGTATTATATAAAAAACCTTTCAATATCAGTTTACCGAGGGAAATACGAATGCACAACGTACCCGTGGGGATTTAACGAAGTATGAGCTACATTTGGTAGGTCATTTTTGAATTAGTGTCAGAAACATCTGGTGATGACACGACCAACATGAACATGAACGTTGTTGTTCTTTATGTATTACTCCGCGTATACGTTAAAAACTTTCCGTCCAATTTTTTTTCTTTGATACATTTAAATCATTTTTTAAACCGTTGAATCAAATGGATAAGTGGTCATTTTTTACAGATATAAAAGACATATTAGTAACAGGCATAATAATTATTAAGCCCCATACCTGACACATGCATCTTTTTTAGATAAAGGAATATACATGTACATACCATTATCAGAATTCTCCAGGGTCCATGGTGGCTCTAGAATAAAGAAAATAAACTAAAGAATGCGGATAAAATCTATGCCTTCGCCAATTGTAAGAAAGACTTTCCATATAAACAGATGATCTAGCTTCTCTTTTCCCTATCCCTGTCATGGGATCATAATTTAAGGTATGTCTTCTGCAATCAGTTATATCAAGGATTTTTTGAGAAATATATTTCAGATAACTACTCATGTACCATAACTCAAAATCGCATAGAAAAGTGGGGGTCATTGTGCATATTAATGACTACTGAGCAACGGTACAATTAACTTTTTGCACTTTAATTGTAACTTTTACGTTAATCACTTTAACATTTATCATATTCACCAGATGTAATTCAGGCAACAAATATAATCTTGTTTTATGTAAATTAGTTTTAATAATATCATTTATTGGAAAAAAAAATCCTGTATATGTGTTTTCTTACTGTATGCAATGAAAGAAAAAGTGAGCAAGCTCACATACCCCACGCTCCCCCAAAACTCGACAATACAACACATAATGAATGGCACAGTGCATTTTAAATACATATAATTCACAAAGGGGCATTACTTGCAAAAAATCATCACATCAAAACTTCTTGCATTTTAGGTCATTCAAATCTTTGTATGTTACAAATTTAATTGGGCTGAGGTTTCTAGATAATAATGGAATCAAAATTTCTTGGTAATATACAAATCTACACATTATGTCTGAAATACCTACAAAGTTTCAGGATATTCAGTGCAGGAGTTATGCTGACAAACTGTTATTTAAATTCCTCAGTGATTTCGATTTGTTAATGAGTGTAAGTCCATGTCCAACACATGACAATTTTCAAATTTAAATAATTGATGGAAACAAAATTATGATGTAGTCATATGAATTTGTTTAGATACTGTACTTATGAAATTATTTAAGGCAAAGCACCAATGTGAGGGGGTGGGGGTGAGAACTATCCAAGATTTGTGTGTGTGTGTGTGTGTGTGTGTGTGTGTGTGTGTGTGTGTTAAATCATAAATATTTTGATCTCAAAATCAATAGAGGTCTTTTAAGGTCATAAAATATTTCATATAAAATTTCATTACAAAAGCTTATTCCAGTGGATTTCCTTATTACCTAGCTGGAAAGTTTCTTCAATAATAGGCATAACGCTTAGGGCAAAAATAAGGGAATCGGAATTTCCTGGTAATATGCACATCTACACACTGTGTACTAAATATCTGCAAAGTTTGACCAAATTTTGTGCAGCGGTTTAAGAGGAGTTGCACTGACAAACTAATCATCTCTATATTCGAGATATGGCCAAAAATCTAAGTTGAAAAGTGCCGAAATTCCCAGAAAAATACGGAATCGCAATTTCCTGGTTGATATGCACATCTACACATTGTGTCCTAAATATCTGCAAAGTTTGACCAAATTCTGTGCAGCGGTTTAAGAGGAGTTGCGCTGACAAACTGTTCATCTCTATATTCAAGATATGGCCTAAAATCTAAGTTACAAAGTGCCGAAATTCCCCAAAAAAAAATCAAGGAATCGGAATTTCCTGGTAATATGCACATCTACACATTGCGTCCTAAATATCTGCAAAGTTTGACCAAATTCTGTATAGCGGTTTATGAGGAGTTGCGCTGACAAACTGTTTATCTCTATACTCAAGATATGGCCAAAAATCTAAGTTGAAAAGTGCCGAAATTCCCAGAAAAAAATAAAGGAATCGCAATTTCCTGGTAATATGCACATCTACACATTGTGTCCTAAATATCTGCAAAGTTTGACCAAATTCTGTGCAGCGGTTTATGAGGAGTTGCGCTGACAAACTGTTCATCTCTATATTCAACATATGGCCAAAAATCTAAGTTGAAAAAGTGCCGAAATTCCCAGAAAAATAAAGGAATCGGAATTTCCTGGAAATATGCACATCTACACATTGTGTACTAAATATCTGCAAAGTTTGACGAAATTCTGTGCAGCGGTTTATAAGGAATTGCGCTGACAAAAAACAGGACTGGCGAACTGACTGACAGACTGACTGACGGACGGGTCAAAAATATAATTCCCCCCCCCCCCGCGCAACTTGTTGCGTGGGGTATAATATCTATGTGCAAGTCACAATCTCTTCTATCAATCATTTCTTGGCAAAGTTTTTTGGGCGAATGTGTAAAATTCGTTCTAAAATATTAATTGAAACCTATTTTTAATATTCCTAGCATATACTAAAAAAATCTCTGGGTAAAAATTAGTAGGAATAAAGTTCCAAGATACTAGTATGAAATCAAATAAGCAATTTTCTTCTAAATATCCTTGCGTCACAAAAATAGTCCCCCATAAATCTTGTTTCTTTACGATTTTGTGAGCAGTTTTTAAATTGAATATTGTATAATTTGCATTGTTTAATTTAAATGTTATAAAAATTGAATTGTAATAAATAGTTTTGAAGTTAGAGGTTCCCACCTAACTCCTCAAAAGCTGACGAGTGACATACCTTAATTAAAAACAAACTTGAATCTAGATCCTCTTGAAGATGCTAATAAGTTTATTTAGCAATATATGGAATTGGAGGAAAACATGTCTTACTTTCACCCCCATGTATTCCCCATATTGTTGCCTTAATCTTGCACTGGGAAATAATAAGACTTGAATCTATACTACAGTTGTATTTTAATGATTAAATTTTTAGTTTCAAATTCTTTTTCTTTTAAATTGTCATATACATCTTTGAAGACCTCTTGTCGCCTTATTTCTCCGTCTTGACGATCTTAAATTGAATATTTTTTACTTCAATATAGGAGGTTTTTGGACCCATTTTGTGGTGTTAACCATGCCCTCAGACAACAAAGTTGAAACAAAAATTAAATGTATGCGAGAATACTTAACTTTACTGCTTTTTTTTGAGAACAACTAGGCTACAGAAAAAGGAAATGTAACTTATTTTAATCTTTATAATTTTTCTATATAAAAGTTAAAGGATTTTTTCCCGATACCTCAATCTGGTTTTCGAGCAGTTAATGGTGGGATTTTCAAATATAACATATTCTTATTAATATTTCCCTCCTTTTACAGTTTATTTGATACAGTCCGAGTTCCCCTTACTCAAGGAAGTTTTGATTCAAGTTTTATTGCAATTTTGTAAGTTTTCTGGCAACTTACAGCACACATACGATGGACCAGCAGTTGGTCTCCGGGAACTTCCAAAAATCATATCAATTAAGTATATCTTGTACAAAGATAAAAGTCCACTGAGCGTCAATGGCTGTTTTAAATCACGTACATCTCCGAGAACGTGTCCGTTGACTAACATACCCTTATTTCCATGCATATAAAGTGATGTAAGCAGTTACATGTACTACTTAACGATCACACACACACCTCGTTTGGTAGCGGTGAGAGATAAAAACTGTATCTCCTTGTGAAGAAATTTTAAGTCTTGCATCCTTTCAAGACAAAGATAAACCTCATTCGAAAGGATACTTATCTTGCTAGTTACTGCAGCAACTAAGAAATTTGATTTTATGGACTTGTTTAAAACTACTTTATGATTGTTGCTAGGCGACAGCATGCTTTTATTTTTCTCCTACAGTTAAGCCAAATAAACATACGACGGATGTCATTTCTTCTCTCAATGCTGGCCTCTTTCAGAAGATTTATTCAGAGACGTTTTTAAGTACCGTCAATAAATCTCAACATTCTAAGGTTTCGAGCTCTACAATGTGCTAAGTTTGTAGAAAACCAATCGAATCACCTTTCCGACATTGTTTCCAAAAATAAGCAATAGTAGCCTAATTATGGTGTTTCCGAAAATAGGAAGAGGTAAGCACTAATGATTTATGCGCTTCATTGCTTTGAGTTTTCTTTTCACACACAACAGACATTTAAAGGAATGTTTAAACGTGCGTTTTACTGATAAGGATGTATGACGCGCGCTGTGGACGTACCATCCTTACAACTTTATTTTTTTACTGGGTAATATCTCTTGCGGGAACCAAAATAGATAGACCTTGCTCCACGCCTTCAAATTTTTATACAGTTTAAAAGCTGATAAAATTACCTCTTGGGGAATTTAATTTCAAAATTTCATCTTAAATCTTATTGAAAATATTTATTGCAGGGATTCGATGAAATCTTGCTGAAAATATGTTTTATCGGAAACATACTCTTTTCACTTCAAATTTTCTTTACACAATATGTATCTCACTAGTTCATATCGAGCCATAAAATAGGAAGCTATATACACTCGCCGCGTTGTCTTATCGATTTTGGCGTGTTCAACATGCAGTTGATATAATTTAAAAGTAAAAACGTAGAAGGGGTATATCGGGTCTGGCCCCGTGGTTTCAGATATCATCAAACCATTTTTTGCGACTCAAAGGCCCTTAAAGATTTCCAAATAAAATTCACTGCCATTAAGGAAGCTCTAAACACTGCACATTAAAGAGTTCTACTTGTAGGGTAGTTTTACGCAGTTAGAGTGATCTGCCCTTAGAAGTAAGATAGAAAAAAAAATAGTATTTACAGTGTATTACACAATTTTTAATATTCTCAGGATTATATTAGATCAAGTATAAGAAATTGAATTTATTGGTTCCATTAATTTTCCCAATGTATGTGAACAACCATGATTTCTGTTCATGAATTGTCCATTGTCTTTGAACATTTTTCCTGCGGAAATAAGGCAGGTACCCTATGTTGAAAATGAATAAATAGTTTCAATATGCATACCTTATATGACATATTTTTCTCCAAGTCCAAAAAGCACTTTTTGTTAGTGTTTAGAGCTTCCTTAAAGTTAAAATGCAATGACTATGAATCCGGCGCACTGAGGTTACCAGACGTGAATTTCCATTTGCATGCATAAGTACTAAATAAGTATTTCCAAATTTATAGTTCTATAACTGCATTAAGTAATATTGCTGATATTTTCTAGTGCTTGAGTGCTTTGAAAATGTTTGCCATTCAACTTTGTGTTTGGATTTTAAAGTTTAGCTCAAACCCTTCTCTACAGCTGATCAGGGGAAAATAGATTTTCCAAAAAATCGAAAATGTAATAAGATTACGAATATAATAGAAAGAGGAACTTCTGGGTAACAAAGATAGGCTATTCCTTTATGATGTTGACCATACCCCTGACAACAAAAGTCCACTAAGAGATAGAGGGAAAAAAAGCTGACGATTTATTATATAAAGATCTTTTTTAAAATTTCAAATGAAGCCGAATATGACATTAAGAAAAGGAAAGGTTAAGAAATGAATCTTTTTGTTCTCCTCGATTTCGGAGGCGGAGGGGGGCTCAGATTGTTTCCCAAATAAAGGATTTCCAATTCTAATTTACAGAAGAAAGAATCTACTGAATCAGCTCTCAAATTACATTGAATAGACATTAAAATATTAAAATATAATAATATTGAAAAGAAGTTAAGAAGTTATCCAGGAACTATGGGGTGTTATGAACACAGTACGTCCTAATTTTAGTTCAATGATGCCCGCTTTATACGAATATATGTCGGAAGGTCCATGAAGTTTTATGTACATGTATATGTAGGAGGTTATGATCATCTATCGCTGTGACCCAAAATGTACCATAATTGGCCTTCCTAAATCAAGCCTATTCATTTTGATAAGACCTTCAGCGTAATGCAGACCGTTTGATTAGTCCTTAAACTAATATAGACTCCACATCTACAGAAAAAAACTTCAGATGTAGAACCCAGGAGGATAATTACTGTTTACGTATTGATTACACGAAGGAATAACAAGCGATCAAATCGACTTCTTTATCCTAGGGACAGAATCCAGAACCCTGCGTGGAAGAGTTATCATTAAAATAATCCGTCATACCAGTCGCTGTATAGAGAGTGCTTCTTTGACATGGAATCAGCTCGTTGGAAAACTGCGCTCTTTCAAAAAAAAAATTATAATGGTCGCTTTTCATTATTTTGTTTATCTAACATTGAGCTATCACGTTTATAAAACAAAAATAAATAATAATAATAAAAATAAAAATCCAGTAACAAAACAAACAAGCAAAGAAAAAGACTTAAACACAAACAAAAACAAAACAAGCAAGCAAATAAATAAGTTAACAAACACAAAAAAACTGAAAAAAAAACCATGAATATTACCGGTATATTGGTGAATGAAAAGACAGCTTCTCAGAAGTTCAGATAATCAATGTTTACAGTAAATGTAACACGAATATAATACCGATTGGTTACTTTTGATATTTTATGCTCTCTCATCATTTCCGAAGACATGTATTGTCATATATGTAAAGAGAGATGAACATATCCACTTTTCAATTGTTGGTCAAGATAGCCTATCATATATTTTTAAAACTTTTCGAGAATCCTAATACAGCAATAAGTGTTTATTATATAATAAGTTTTGAAATTAAGGAAATCGCCTCTTTTCCTATATATTAATTACCTCTTAAGTGTTCTATTGATTTAGTTTTTTTCAAGCTATGTACTACAAGCAGTATAAATACAGATAGGAACAGGAGAAAAACCGAGTCTACGAATAGTTTAAGTTACTTTCGTACGAAACGCTACAAGACATGATCTCTCATCATAACCGACTATAACGGTACTTCTCATTTGCGCGAATATGCTTTCATTTGGGAGCGATTATTTTTTTTCCATTCGGGGGGTGGGGTGGGGGTGCAAAGTTATTTCATTTTGGGCTTTTTTTTTCAAGAGGACGAAAAAAGTAAGGAATACCTTGTAAACGATTAAAGAGATAGAGTCAATCATAAAATACCATTTCAATGTTATTTATGAACATTCAGAAATAACGAGGAATTCATAATGGTGTACACTGATTTATACTAACGATTAGTTAGTTGTAATAAACAGCTATTCTATGCACTTTAAATGTAGTTGTCTTTTATTTAATTCGCAAAAATGAAATATCAAAATTCTCCCAAAAAGAAATGGCAATATTCAGCCTAAAATGAAAGAAATTAATTTGAAAGATCAACCAAAATGAAATGCATCCAACTGTAAGTACGAAAAGTTTGTTTTGTTGTTTAATGTCCCAATCGAGAATTTTTCACTCATATGGAGACACCATGCACCACTTAGCGGTGGAGAGCTTTCAAATTTAGACCTATACTCGGCACTCAGGGGCCAATCAGCAGTAAGGATCGAATTTATTGAAAAAAAAAATAATATAATAAAAACAAACAATTAAACAAATAAAAATCCTATGTATAGAATTAAATTTAAGGACATGCAGTATTGTTTTTACCCCTAAATCAAAAGTGAGTCACGTTGATTTCGAGAGCGTGTTTCTTTGGATTTGGAGTTTGAATGCGTTTCGTTTGAGCGAGTTAAATTCTTTGCTTTGGAGTTTAAGTCTCTTTGGTTTTGGAGTCTGAATGCGTGTCTCTTTGGATTTGGAGTCTGAGTGCGTGTTACTTTGGATTTGGAGTTTGAGTGTGTGGCTTTTTGGATATTGACTGCATGCTTCTTTGAAATCAGAACTGATTAGTTTTTACTCATTTCTGATTTAGTATACTGTCAAAAGAACAGGTTCATGCTTGGAAATATTATACAGAACTCATAAGAATTTCTTAAAATTATAATAATTTCGACAGACGAATCTAGTGCTCCCCCTCCACAAAAAATTGTTCTTATTGACACCCCCCCCCTTTTGCAGCGCAAGTGAAATAACTGTCACCTTTTAAGCAAGAGGGTTTTTTTTGTGTGGAAGATATTGTCTGACTATCAGTGGTCTGCTTTCTGGATCTGCGGTTTTATTATGTTTGAAAATGTTGTGTTTGAAATTCAATACTTCTTCCGAAATTTTAATTGGTGGGTGGCCTAAATATTAAATATGTGCTGTCGTACATGTAGGTTCAGTAATGTCAAAGTAAGAACAATTTGTACATCTGAGAACTCGATAATAATAAACAAAAAATAATGTTATATATTTTTCTCTCTGCTTTGGTTTGAAGTATCTATTAGAGTACCCAAATGACATTTTACAGTTTCTGACGGTAAAACTCCCCTAGCAATTCCCTTCCATTTTATACATGTATCATCGCTTACATCTACATGTAGCGGGAAATTAGCTACCATCTAAATTTAGCATTGTTAGCCATGGTCGCTAATCAAATGACAAATTTGGTTCAAAAAATAAATTGAGGAATAAATAGAATCGCTAAAAAGTAATTACGCTAATAATTAAATGCCCACTTTTAGGACAAACGCTCAAAATTTGCCTTTCGTTAAAACAAAACGTTGCACGTTTGTCGAATAATTTTTCCCGACATTTAGGATGTGGTTGTGCAATCAAAATTTCATAACAACATGCGAAAGACAACATTGTTAATTATTGGAAATCTGAATGTCATAATTAAAAGTCTTTCATTTCCAGCTGTGAGCATCTACAATCGTCAAACTGATGCAAGTTTAACCGTATTGGTTTGCTGTCAGTAGGATAGGCATTTTTTTTTTTTATATGTACAAACATGTCTCCCAAAAAAGCACAATCCGGCAATTCAAACATATAGAGAAAAAGTTTAATTATACTTAGTACTTAGTATATGACAATTATATCTCGGTCTAAATATGATAACTGTAAACTTAATTTTCAATCGTTAGTACGGTTTTAATGGCCCATAGTATATCATGTCATCTGCATTTAAAATCATAAAAATCAGGATGTTTTTGAATGGATTTAAATAATGATAAAAATCGGCGAAATATTAAATAGAATTAAACATTCCTCTATTTGAATTGTTCCGATATTTTCTCAGATTGTTTGATTATCTCACCTGATTCTATCGGAAAATTCTGTGGAATAAAGTCATCCCGACTCTCTGGGAAGATACCAATATCACTGAAGTTGAATGTCATCGGTAAAGATGGGGAGCAAAAATTAATCAACACATTAAAGTGAAACTGAAAACGACTCAGAAAAAATCACAATGTTCAATCCACAAAGGAGGTCATTTGAAACTCAAGGAATATTGGGAAAATTCAGACCGAGTACAAAGCTCCAGCACACCTGAGGACGCACAGACTTCAGAGTTTTCTTAAAATGTCACAAATGACGTTCGTTCACACACAGGTATATTTTAACGAGAGAAAATAGTTTTTGTTAAACAGAATCATTAGAACTTTTTTTTTTTGATTCATGTAAAGTATATCCAGTAAGATGTAATAGAAAGATAACATAGAGAAGCGATGAATGTCTATCGGTGCTGCCAAACTGAAAAAAAGTGGTCTTCGGCTTTCTTAAATATCTGATCAGAAATGCCGCTGTACGAGTTCACGGAAGACTTAAAATTACCATAATTTTTCTTAATATATCAAGCATCTCCGAATCCAACAAGACAAAATGAAAGGAAACATGCACGGAGGATAGTGCCGTGTGCTTCCATTAATGGTCTGTCCGCTGCTACTATATATCATAATAGTGGTTCAGAGATTGCTTCGTGTTCTCGATGTTTAAGCGGCAAAATGAAGCCAACAAAGTCAGCGAGAATTCTCATAGAGTGGAAAGAGAAACCATGACTGAATCTCTTAACTATTTAATGCACGATGATGTCAACTGCTATATTTTCTTTTTTATTATCATTATGAGCGACACGAGATGTATAGTTTTATGGAAAAGTGTCCATTAAATTAAATATAGATGCAACGACAACGAAAGACTTGAAGCTTTTAACGATGATATATGGAATCCGTTTAATGAAGTCAAGATAATCTACTTGACAGATGGTGGAAACCAACGTACGTACTCTTGTCGGTACTGTTCCCCTTTACTGACATATTGAAATATCGGTGTTGCAAACCAGCCAAAAAATATGTTTATTTAAAGAAAATTAGACAACTTGAGAAATAATCTTGTAAAATGCTGGAAAAAGGTTCTATCTTATCTGAACTGAAAGCGAATCACTTTTTTGACTGATCGTTAATTACCCACAACTGTTCTAACGTAACTAATAAACCCCACGGATGCATACTCAGAAGAAAGTGTTTTTCTAACACTCCAAAGACCAAAGCATATACCTGTACATGCATCACAATGAACAAAATTTTAATTAGGCATCACTTAAAAAGAATGGATATTACATAAATTCTAACTTTTCCCATAATCACTGATTCACACGCTCGTATTTATTCTTCAGCAAGAACAGTCACAAATTCCATGTTGTAAGAAAGTTTTGTTTAAATGCAATTCTAATAAGCTAAAACAGCTCTATTTGATGTAACTAGAAGTTATCTCGCAAAGTTTTAAACAATTATACATTAATACAATCAAAACGTTGTCAGAACTATTTCTCCTCGTCGCTAATGTTACAGTTCCGAGTTCAGTAGTTTGTTCGTTGCACATTGACCATTGATAACTTCCTCAAGGTAAACTGCAACTTTAAAATCACAAACTTTTTGAGGAAACTGACATGAATGAATACATATATGTGACTAAAATGACAAAATTTGTATACAATAAATAACATGTAAACTGCAGCATTATTGAATTGCATCGACCACAGCCGGTCCTCTCTATTATCACCTTTCCTTTTTTTTCACCCGTCTGTCAAACATTTTGAAGAAAAGAAACAGAAAAGAGATTTTTTTCGCTCGAGGTGCAGGTAACGAGCTGATATTTGTTGTCTTCGCAACATAAAGTTTTTTATTTACATGTAGATCACGTGGTTTGGTTTTGATCTTTCTGGCCATTTTGCATAAAGTTACGCTCTTTCGGGTGAAGAAATGCTTTAGTCTACAAAGTACACAATTTTTGTAGCACACCGACAAGTGCAATAACACCACCCTAAAGCTATCTTTGTAAATCATTTCACAATTATATCAGTTACAATTTTATCTTATTACATAAAAAGACTAGCTGTCTGTTCCTTGTTTTTTCCTAATATTTTGACTACCTGATTAAAAAAAAAGTTTTTGCAACCCTCCGATAACCCTCTCATTCATGCCACCTGAATGTAAATGTTAGGTGTTTTTAGAAGACGCCAAAGATTATCTCTAATATGCAAGATGTGAAATGTTAAACTTACAGATGCCACAATGTGTTGGGTGTTTTAGCGTTAGATTGCAGACTGACTGATGAAGCATGTCATTCACCAAAACTATTTGTTTCATCAAAAGCTCTTTTTTTAAACTACAAACACACTTTACATCATGACCTTCACCTCAGACAGAAATTTTTTTTTTATAAAGAAAAATGAGAAATTGAAGTTTAACACATGTTCTTAATTTTCTGCATTGCTATAAAGCTAAGAGAACACATATCTAATACATGTATATAAGATATATATCTGTACATAAATTGTATACTTGAATTCTGAGAAATAGTAGGGCGATGAAAATATATATATAAAAATATAAAAATAAAAATACAGAAAATATTTAGAATATGATTTTCAAAAAAGGATCGTTGTTGTACATTCATTAATATACTTTATCCCTAATTAAATCTGAAAGCGAACTTAAATCGAACTGAAGTTTTATCTGAAAAATATGTGAGCAAAAGATATGCATTTCTAACCTAGGTTAGCTTTTCCAAAAAAAAAAAAGAAGTTCCGTGTTTCATTAGTGTTTATTAGAGATATAAATATTTCTGTGGATGAAAAAACTTTATTCATAAAACACATACATGTATTTTTAAGGATATTTTTTAGTTGTTATTACAAAGCTCATTGCTGAATGCTACAGATTAACGGGGTAAAACAACCAGACACAAATGGTCGAGCTACTGCTTCGTGTATCTTTGCATCATATCTCAGAGATATTACCAGTCTTTTCAGAAATGCATGTTAAACAAACAAATACAGGCGTGTTCAAGTCTAAAATTAGCCAATTTGGCAAGGACTATAAGTGATGGACGACTCATTTTATCTCGTGCATTTGCGTACTTATATGGTAGGACTGAAGGTCAGGATGATACCTGATAAACTTCAGCTCATTGCAATACTGATTCCATAATGTACAAGATTTGTCCTTGAACAAAACTTTCTATAAATTTACTGAAGCTGCCCTCAAACCAACAGATCCGTTTACAGCAGTCAGGTCTCGCTGTTTAGTGATATACCAACAGTAGTTGTCATACAGCTGGGCGTCTTTGACGAGTATTGTGCCCTTGTGGCAGGTTGAAAACGTATATTTTTGACTGATAGGCCTAATTCTAAAATTCTTCTTGACAGACTTGTTGTTTGGAGTCCACTCCTTGGGTATAGCAGACAAATGTATTTTTCCTATATACATGTAATAGTATACGATGTCACAAAGGGTACAAGCCAGCATCACCAAATGTATCGTATTTCAGTGCACATTAAAATGTGTATACCATAATTCATAAACCATGCACAAAAGGCATTGCTTTGGCACGCTGAATTCAAGTAAGCATTAGTTTTTTTTTTCTGAATAGAAACATTCTATACTGAAATTGTAAATAATGAATTCGATAAACTAAGAAAGTGTTCTGGAAAATGGTCAAAACACATTGTTTTAACAAAGGTCCAAAATCCATAAGAATCTTTTCAAACATAAAATGGTATCGAAGAAGCAAACATGAAGACCCTGCCTGCTACATATTAATATATAACACGTTCATAATGTACACTCGCTTCGTTCTAATGTCGACGAGTAAAGAGTTAATTAATACTTGTGTTACAGGTTCGAATCCCAATGCGGGAGACTGATAGGACCCTGAAAAAACGTAGTCATATGTTGATTTTTGTACGAAAAAGATCCATTCCGATTCAATGGCCATGGGTGCTTAGTACAGGTGTAAATTTGCAGCATTCTATCGGCAAGTGGTGGCGTCCCAATATCATCATGTAAATTATTCTTCAAGGGATGTAAAACAAGTAATAAAACCAAATAAACGGAGGTATTACCCACTCAAAAAATCCGACTAGAAAATATTTGGAATTAAAAATAAATCATTTATATCCAAAAGTATTTCTTTGGGGAGAGGGTGTCTTCTCGTAAACAATCCGCTTAAGAAAGGGTTTTTGATCCAGTACGGGGAGCGTAATGGACCGCAAACCCTTCGGTAGAATTTCAGTGCTTGCAAGAAAGAATTCAAATTCATTTTGAGAAAGGAAGTTTATCTTTATTTTTCACTTGTACACTGTCTAGATATTTTACCAAAATTCATTTTTTGCTGGGAGTTTAACTCAATGTTTAATCTCTGTAGGCCATCAGACACACACCTCACATTTGTATGGATAATATAGAGTCATAGACATGAATATTGACTGCATTATTATAGCGTAAAATGTAATAACAACGCAAAATGTAATAAACTGGGACTTTTACATTTCGCGTAGAGATCAATGCAGAATGTAACAAGATGTGTTTGTGAAACACTGATGCCCCCGTACGGTAGCTTATGGCGAAGGTTACAGTTTCTTAGATGCAAGTCAAACTCCAGGTCAAGAAATAAAAAAAATGCTGATACCCAAAGAAAGGTCTTGTCTCGAGGAATATATCTGTGAAATATGAAAGTCCTAGTAAAAACCGTTGAAAAGTTTTTTTTAAAGTAAGTATAACGACAAGGTCAAGGTCAAATGGTGCCCAAGGGAGTTCTTGTCACAAGTGATAAACATGATCGTGAAATGTGAAAGCCTTAGAACCAAACGTTCAAATGTTATGGCCAATTTTAAAAAATTTTAAAAGTAGGTCAAACCCCAAGGTCAATATTGTTGGTATCCAAAGGAAGGTCTTGTCACAAGGAATATACATGTGAAGTATGAAAGCCCTAACACCAACAGTTCAAAAGTTATGGCTAAGGTTAAAGTTTTTCAAAAGTAGGTCAAACTTCAAGGTCAAAGGGTCAGAGTTGTTGGTATTCAAAGGAAGGTCTTGTCACAAGGAATGCATATGTGAAGTATGAAAGCCCTAACACCAACCGTTCAAAAGTAATGGCCAAGGTTAAAGTTTTTAAAAAGTAGGTCAAGGTCAATGTCAAAGTTGGTGAAATTTAAAGGAAGGTCTCACAAGGAATGCATATGTGAAGAATGAAAACCCTAGCAACTGTTCAAAAGTTATAGCCAAGGTTAAAATTTCTCAAAATTGAAGTAGGTCAAACTCTAAGGTCAAGGTCAACGTTGTTGGTATGCAAAGAAAGGTCTTGTCACAAGAGTACACATGCGAAGAATGAAAGACCTAGCTCAAACTGTTCAAAAGTTATAGCTACGGTTAAAGTTTTTTCAACAGTAGGTCAAACGTCAAGGGTCGCCCGCGTGGCGCAGTGGTTACAGCGTCTGCTCTAGAGTCGCGGAGCAAGGAGTTGATCCTTACGTTGCCGGTTCGAATCCCACTGTGGGACGCGGAGACCGGTCTTTCGGATGAGACCGTATAAACCGAGGTCCCGTGTCGCAGTAGGTGCTGGCACGAAAAAGATCCCTCACTGCTCAATGGCCGTAAGTGCCGAGTATAGGACAAAATTTGCAGCTCTCCACCGGCAAGTGGTGGCGTCTCCATATGAGTGAAAAATTCTCGAGAGGGACGTTAAACAACATATAAACAAAAAACAAACGTCAAGGTCAAAGATGTTGGTGTCCAAAGGAAGGCCTTCTCATAAGAAATACACTGCGTTCAAAAGT